TTTGATCACTTTTTAAGTAATAAAGGTTGAAATTTTATTGCTATTATTTTACTTCATAGGATAGAAACGTTGTATCCCACTCCTGCTTTTGTAATGTATATTTCGCATATAATATTAAATAAAACTTTAACCACAAATTAAATATCTTTTTATCTGAATACAGGCGCTTCTTAAATGACTTAATCTTTACGACACATATATGAGTCGTGACACACGGTGGCAAAGGTTGACCACAAGACATACATGACACGTAATGCAGTCAACGTAAGTATATAAATATATTTGAATGCTAACGTGTTTTAATCTGCTTAAATAAAAAAATTCGTTTTTCACACTAATAAAATATCTTTTAAAATACTATCAATTAGAACGTAATAAATTTTTATGTAATCGTATATAACTTTCGATATTTATAAACCCATAGTCCTCAATATAATATATTCTCACCTAAAAATCTTTATTTGACTCTTAATGTTAAAAAAGAATAAATATGATCTTACATTATAGCTATATTATTATTAAAAATCATTTAGAAAATGTCAATTGTGGTACTCCAAAAAGTATGTAAAAAAGTTTTTGTATCAACTGGACGGTAAAAATTCGATATATTTTGATAAAAGTGGCCTGTCGATAAAGATAAAAATGCGTGTTAAAGATAAGGAGTGCTGCTTTAGTATAAAATTATAATTTTACTGCAAATGAAGTCAGTTTAAATAAAGGTGTTAAAAATAAAGCAAATGATGTGCGATGTTTGCCATTTTTATGATTCCCATGAGATGGGACATTGATGGACTGGACATTGAAATATCCATTTTTAGAGCCCAATCTTTAAAACCTATAACATGAAATTTGTATTCGGAGTTGTGGCAACAAATGCGAGGCAGTTGAAATATGCCTAAAAAACACTAAATTTAAGCTTTCACGTTAAAAACGATCTAAAAAGTTTAAAACTGCTTCTTTTTGATTGCATAAATCAAATGTTTTTAGAAACTGCACAGCCACAGCTTTAAATTCCACTCCAAACGTCTTCGTAGAGACATTTCTTGTGACGTGCGATTGTTTGTACTGTATAAGTTTAAAATATGCGTATTTTTAAGGCATATTTCAAATGCCTAATATTTGTTGCCAAAACTTAAAATCGAATGTCGCAGGTTGCTTTAAGCGTTGTTTGTAAGAGAATGGTTTATTTTACACAAAAAGTAAAAATAAACCTTTTTTTTCAAAACTATGCCAGCTATACTTTTTTATTTGAAACAGTTCTTTCTACTAATTGCTATTTAACTGGGAATAAGCCACAATTAAAAATAAAAATACGTTTATTGACGTTTCAATTTCCACTTCGGAAATCGTTCTCAAAATACAAACAAAGAAAATAGAAAAAAAATAAAAACAAAAATAGATAGATTTTTAAAGTGGAAATTGAAACGTCAATAAACGTATTTTTATCTTTAATTGTGGCTTATTCCCAGTTAAATAGCAATTAATTTAAAATGCCACAAGAAAATAGCTTCAGAACAATATTTCTTTCTACGGTCTACAGATTCTTTTATTTTCCATAATAATGTCACGGTAAGGAGTAAGAAGTATTTTTAGTTTATTGGAGTAATACTGGAATTTTTATTGGAGCAAAATTGTTTCAGTTCAAATTATTGAAAATATATCCAAAAAATATGTATTGAAAGTAAAACCAAACGAGAAATGCAAATTTAAGCTGATCCTGTACACTACAATTTTATGTTGACTGAAATTACTGGCAATTAATTACTAAAAATAAGATGATAACACTGTTTTGTTTACTAAGAGTATAAAGGATCTACATAGAGAAATAGGCTGTCAAAAGAGAAAAGAGGTAATAGTTAGCAAGAATTATAACGCTAATAATTCTCATGGTAGAGTATTATGGCTAATGATATTATCAAGAGAGTAGCCCATTAAAAATATATTGACTGTTATTTGAATATACTTTGAATAATACTGATAAAACACGTAATCAAAAGAAAAGCGTATAAAAAATAACTAATTTCCAAAGTGCAGAAAACAGAGTGACACATAAAATATTACAAGTCATTGTCAGGAAGAAAATAAGGGAAAAAAATTAAACACGAGAAAAATAGCCTCAGGATGTGTACTTATATGAGTGGAAGTAAAATTTTAAGAAATCGAGGACATAACAGACGTAAATAAGAGTATCTTTCATACTAATAAAACAAGACGGTGCAAATCACTCAAAAATAGAAAATCTGCATGATCTGAGGACACACTGGTAGAATTTTTGAAATATGACAATGTTTGTATGAACGTCTATCAAATGGGTTTCAAAGATGCTTAAGACAAACTAATAAAAAAGAGGGTGAAATAAATTGCAATAATTATACACAAACAGCAATTATAAGTTTCTAATTATTGACAAGGGGAAAAGCGCGGGTTTGTCCGAAAAAATATTTCCATGAGATTTTTTTTACATAATCACTTTCATAAGATAACCCTAAATAAGGTTCAAGAGGTCGCCCAAGCAAAAATTAGTTAAAATATTTTAAACATTTATTTTAAACAAGTAATAATCAATTTTTTTAGTCCGTACAATTGTTTTATTATTTTTTTTGTTGTAACCATTTTGAACAATAAAGGTCTTTTGTAAGTTTTCTCTAAAGTTGGTCGTTTTCGAGTTAAAAATAATTTAAAACTGACAAAAACGCAAAATACCGATTGTTAAGACTCAAAAACACAAATAAAAAATATTATTTTTGAAATCGTCAAGTGCCTAAATTCAAGCCTTCTTCTATCAGCTCAAAATGAAAATTCCTGGCTTATTTTATTGTAAAACATTGTTTTTATTTCTTAATGAAGTGCGTATGGCAGGGAGTCATTTGTACAATGAGAATTTAAACCAGCTAAAAAGTGTGCCATAGATCTTGTTTCTCTCTTTTATTTACGCCGCTGCCCGAGCGCCCGTCCTAACATAAATGCTTCATTAAAGAGAAAAACAATGTTTTAAAATGAAATAAGCCCAAAATACTTATCAAGAAATGATAAAACAAGGTTTAACCTTGACTTTGGGTCACAGTTTAGTAGAATTTAGTGAATTCAAAAATAATATTTTAACTTATGTTTTTAGCCTTAAAAATCGTAATTTTGCATTTTTTTTTCAGTTTTAAATCGTTTATAACTCTAAAGCGATAAAATTTTCAGAAAAATTACAACAGATCTATTTGTTCAGAATGACCCAAAATAATTTCCTATTTTTGCTTATGTTTTTGAGACTTGCAAATCGTAATTTTCCTTTTTTTCAGTTTTAAATCGTTTATAACTCTAAAGAAATTAAATTTACAAAAAAATTAAAACAGACCTATTTGTTCAGAATGGTCCAAAATAATTTAAAAAATTTATAATTTGAATTAAAAAAAAATTAATTTGAACGTTTTCCCTGTGCGACCTTTGAACCTTATTTTGGTATTTTTCATGAAAGTGATTATGCAAAATAGTCTCATCGGAATATTTTTGCGAACAAATGCGTGTCTTGTCTATTAGAGTGTAAAATTAAACAAAGAAAATTAAACAATAATATCTTAAAGAGGAAGCAGATAAACATTCACCTTTTTAATTAGACAAATCATAAATATACCATTTTTGTTTTACTTAAAAAAAATCCCACAAAATCAACAAAAAATACACCTGCTTTTCGTCGAACTCAAAAGAGCAATAACATTCTAATTACTCCGATTAAACTTTGGCAGATACACTAATAAACCAGCCGACAGGTAAAAATGTAATATGATGTGCTGAGAGATGAGTATAGAATTAAATTATAGGATTCTATATACTTTACTGACAATCATGTCAAGATGACTAAGTTATTATGGCCCAAGGTTATGATGACATGAATTATATGACAAAGAAATTGTGAAAGAAATACAACAAATACAAAGAGTTAAGTTAAAAATGTAGAAAAGATGGAATATGTAAGTATCGGAGGACAACAAGAGCAAGAAAAAAGTCGACAACGCATAAGAGATTCCACTGGAGTACAAATTTCACCACAGGATGGAATAGTGGATGCGACCAGCAATCCAAAATCAGACGAAGAGCCATAAGTAAAATTGGGCGCGGAGCCATCAGTGTCACAAAAGTCGTAAGATTGGACCAAACCATCGAATCAGACTAACCACCAAAGATGACAAGAAAAAATATATAATACTATAGTTAAAAGTATTATGGTCCACAGCCCTCCAAAATAGAGATATTATGGAAGGAGGACTTAAACAATGATCGATCGAGGTGGAGTTTGAAAATCAGAATACCACTGAGAATATTGTGAAGTGATATAAATAAAAAAACAATGTAGAGTTCAGCAGGCGGGTAAGTTTTTTTAATCAAATGTATTTATAAAGTTTTATTGTTGTTTTTATTGTTTATATTGTTTTTAGTAGTATAGTATTTGATATTCAAGCATAGACACTAACATGGATATAACTGTATATATCTAAATAAGCACAGCAACTTAACATGAGTTACTATAATAATACCATCAAAAAAAAATTAAAATTTCTCAGCGAAAAAAAATACGCATTGCAAATAATAATCGAAGATAAATTTGAAATAAACGTGGTCTAGGTAAAAGAAAACTGTCTTGACTGACGATTTTATATGAGATATCATTCATGATGAGATTTATATGTTTTTCCTGAAAATTTATATAAATTTTTCACAAATTGATCTAATTCGACATCAGATGTTACCGAATATAAATAAAAAAGAAAAAAGGATTAAATATATCATTGTCCGTAGTTTTTTTTTATTTTACCATTGTTTTTTTAAATACGTATCACACATGTTTTATTTAATTAAAAACGTAAGTTAACATTTTAGTTGTATTTTTAAATTATGTGAAAAATTTTAAATTTTACTTTTGTTATCAAACATTTTGTAATATTTTAAAAACATATTATACTCAAAATATTTTATATTATTTTTTTATTAGGAAACAATTAAAAAATACTTACGCCAAAATACTCGTACTAAATCTGTGGTTAATCCCCACTCGAAATCAAAACTGAGCGTTCTTCAAATCCTAAGCACGATATACCACCACTTTACAATCACTGAACGCACAATGGTACCATTTTCCAACAATAAGTTAGGTACTATAAGGTGCAGGTGTACCAATTAGAATTGGAAGGGGGACAACGAAAATGATTTATAGATTAATATATGTGTTATGTATATTCGAAGATAAAACATTTTTCTTCGCTCGTACTACCTTTCTGCATTTACGCAATATCAACAGGCTTTTACACAAATGAAGAAAATATTGTATAAGATGTATATTAGAATTCTTTCATAACATTATTATTAATTTATTAATTAGGGAGACCAAGATCATTGAAAATATTTTACAATATTTTTATTTTTATAACATAAATTATTGATGAAATATTGGGACAGTATATATTAAAAATAGTTGAATTTAATTTAAATATTTGTAACAATTTTTCACATTTTGTTATATCTTTATTAAAATGTTAAGGATCTACTTGTTTGTTCTACTCTTCAATTCAATATTCAGTCTTCGAATTCTTCAGTCAATTTTTGAATCATACAATCCACGTCTTTTTTGTCATTTGCTATAATTACCTGATTAGTCTAGGCAGGATCTGTTTTGGATTGGACATTTTCCATAGGAAGCTATTTTTTGCTGGAATCCCTTCAGGATGTGCTCAATATCGATAATCACGATATGCGCCAGTCGCAAACCCTGTGCTAAATTTTTGATTTAACAAAATATGAAAACAATTGAAAATTTCTCATGTTTTTGCTCCCATTTTCGTTTATAATTAGAAAAATATTGATCCTAAAGAAAAAATTATATGAAGTTAAAAGTTTCATTATTTAATTTTACGCAATATTTCGTTGGCTAGAAATTAAAAATTTAATGTTTATTGTTGAAAAAATACCAATTATTGGAAAAAATACTACAAAAAAATAAAGTTAATCCTTTAAATCTTTTCGACTATCTAAACTTAACTTACAAGCTCCATATACGGCCTAGAAAAACTTAATATGTTTAAAACGTGTGTTAAATTTTGTTAAGATCGGTCGGATAGGTTTTGCATAATAATTTTGCAATCCAGCCTACTGGAAAAGAATCGCAAATTTTCAAATTTATAGTAGGACCTAAATAAGGCCCTTAGATAGTTACAAATATTTTTACATCTAAAGGAAGGCTGAAACTTTCAAACGCTTTTTGTAAAATTTAAATCGGTTCACTAGGAGAGCCTAGAAAATGTTTTAAAGTTTTAAACATTTTTTAGGCTTATAAACAAATTGAATAACTTGAATTTGAGTCTTAAAAAAAAAGATACATTCGGCTTACTGCTTGCCGAGATATTGAAGGTCAAAGTTTAACATACATTTGCCGTGTAACCCTAAGTGATAGAGGGCTCGTTTTTAAACAAATACCCTCATCTTGTCAAGTACTTTTTATATGAAAAGTTTTACGTAATGCGCTTTATGGCAACATCCATAAAAAAGACAAATAAAAAACCTTTTTCGCGAAAAATGTCGCTCGGAATGCGTAAGAGGTGGTGGTGGGGGACATTCACTCGAAATGTGAATCGGCGAGTTCAAAATCATACCGCGCGCTAAAAATTGCATTATCTCGGCTTCTTGTTAACCAATTTTGCTCTTTTTTTTGAATCGATGTCTCGGACGACAAGGATTTCAAATATCATATTTTCAGATACCATTTTTAATTGCAAATTGGGAAATTTGCAGTAATCAATCGTATGTTAAACAAGTAATTGCATTTTTTCTTCATGTATTTTTTTGAGCTTGCAATTTATACATTGAAGTAAATTGTTACTTTTGGTAAACAAATATGTATTAATAAATTATTAATAAATATTTTTGTTGCCTTTGTTTTAACAATCTAAATTATTTATCAACAACTTATTAATACATATTTGTTTACTAAAAGTAACAATTTACTTTAATGTATAGATTCCAAGCTCAAAAAATGCATGAAGAAAAAACGCAATTACTTGTTTAACATACAATTGTTTATTGCAAATTTTCCAATTTTCAATTAAAAATGGTATTTGAAAATATGATATTTGAAATCCTTGTCGTCCGAGACATCTATTCAAAAATAAAAAGCGAAATTGGTTAACAAGAAGCCGAGATAATGCAATTTTTAGCGCGCGTTATGATTTTGAACTCGCTGATTCACATTTCGAGTGAATGTGCCCCACCACCAGCTCGCATGCATTCCAAGCAACATTTTACGCGAAAACGGTTTTTTATTTGTCTTTTTTATGGACGCTGCCATGAAGCGCATTACGTAAAACTTTTCATATAAAAAGTACTTAACAAGACGAGGGTATTTGTTTAAAAACGAGTCTTCTATCGCTTATGGTTATACGGCAAATGTATGCCAATTTTGACCTTCAATATTTTGGCAACCAGTAAGCCGAATGTATCTTTTTTTCTTTTAAAAGAAGCGTCTTTTAATGTTGTTTAAGTGTATAAATTTTGAAATTGATATGTTTAAAGTTCGTAAAGTTATTCAATTTGTTTGTAAGCCTAAAAATGTTTAAAATATTAAAAAAATTTCTAGGATCTCCTAGTAAACCGATTTTAATTTTACAAAAATCGATTGAAAGTTTAAGCCTTCTTTTATAAGTAAAAAAATTGGCAACTATCCGAGGGCCTTATTTAGGGCCTACTATAAATTTGAAAATTTGCGATTTTTTTCCAGTCAGCTGGATTTCAAAATTATTATGCAAAACCTATTCGACCGATCTTAACAAAATTTAGCACACATTTTAAACATATTAAAAAGTTTTTTTAGGCGGAGTATGGAGCTTGTAAGGCAAGTTTAGAAAGTCGAAAACATTTAAAGGATTAACTTCATTTTTTTGTATTTTTTTTTTAATTATTGCTATTTTTTCAACAATAAAGATTAAAGTTTCAATTTCTAGCTAACGAAATATTGTGTAAAATTAAATAACAAAACTTTTAACTTTTTACAATTTTTTCTCTATGATCAATATTTTTCTAAATATAAACGAAAATAGAAGCAAAAAAATGAGAAATTTTTAATTGTTTTCAGATTTTGTTAAATAAAAAATTTAGCACAGGGTTTGCGACTGACGCATATTGTGATTATCGATATTGGGCACATCCTCAAGGGATTCCAGCAAAAAAATAGCTTCCTATGGAAAATGTTCATTATGGTCTGAATCTCTACAGATCCCGCCTAGTGTAGATCGTCTTCGAAGAAAATATTTGTTAGAAACTGTATCGTCTTACTTAGGCCTGCCTTCGTCAAAGTTTTAAAAATATCTTTGTACGGTAGTACCATAAGCCTTATAGCAATCTTACTAACTCATTGGACAAATTTATGGCTGTTAGTTTTTCAATAATTAGTTGTAGTACGAATTTTATTATACACAAACTCTGTTGGCACAAAATCCAATATACATTCGATATATTGATCCTTGATTCATTTCTTTGTGAACTGACCACACAACTTTTACAACGAATTGATATTACTCTGACTCTATTTTCTTGTGGTATATTATTGAAATTACTATTTCCAATTCAGAAATCGTTCTCAAAATAAAAACATTGTAAAAGAAAAAATAATAATTCTTACTCACAATCTATTTTATTCTACCACCAACGACCGGTTTCGCATACTACAATTTGCTATGCATCTTCGGGTCTTAAGGTACATGGTAAACTAAATGCTGAAATTACAAAAACCCGCAAAAAAAGCAGACAAAGTAAAAACAAGTGATACAAAATAATCTAGAAAATTGAAATTAAATTAGTAAATAACCAATAAATACTACTTATATGCCGGTACAAGAATTATCATTTACTAATTTAGAAAACATAGTTCAAACTATCCTGGATTAGCTGGTGATGGGTGATCATCGGTTTTATTGTAACTGTTTGACAATTAGACGGGATGTTCTTGAGGGGAGAGATACTAATAAATAAACTAGGAAGTAGGTATTGTGTAATTGTTTGTTGAAAAAACTGAGATGTGTTATATTACTTAAAAGTTATTTACACTTATTCAATAGGTATATTGTGGAAATGTGTGTTAATTTATTGAATTATTTATTAAAAAGAGTCAGCTGTATGATAATAAATAAAGGTAGATGTATAATTTGTGGGTGGGCAATAACTCCAACTTGTAATTATCAAATTATGATAAATTGATTTGGTCTCTGTTAGGGCAGAAATTGTGTGATGTTAAAATAAATTTAAATTAATAATTAAAAACACTTAAACACACTTAGGGACAAACGGAACACATTCAAAAAGACACAACAGGCATTTAATTTAAAAGGGGCACTTACTGATACTATATCACTTCTAGAAGAGGAACTGGTAAATACCTGATTTTTAGACAACAAAAAACTAGCCTTTTTCTTTACTAGATAGCACCCTAATGGGGTTTTTGTAATTTCAGCATGTAATTGACCATGTACCGTAAGACCTCAAGATACATAGCAAATTGTAGTATGCGAAGCCGGTCGTTGGTGGTAAAACTAAATAGATTGCGACTCTTATTCTTATTTCTTTTACCTATTTAAAATGGACTCACACAAGCAACACATTCAAGATTTTACAAAGATTGTATTATATTCTCAATGTTTGTATTTTGAGAATGATTGTCGAAGTAGAAATCGAAAGGTTAAAAATAAACTTATTTTGAACTTATATTGTGGCTTATTCCCAACGAAAATAGTAATTGCAAAATAAACTGATATCTTCCACACGTTCTAATTTTCCTTTTTGCGATAATAAATTAAGCTTATTTTGAGCGAAATAAGCGAAATAATAGTGATTTTGAAGTATCGATTGAAAATAATTGTAAGTATGTTCAAAAGCACCTACAAACCTTTTTAATAAAGAAAAATTAAGGTCTTTCTTATACTTTCAAAACAATGATTTAATTTTTGTTAATTCTCAATCCACAGAGTAAGTTTAGGTATCTACTTCTTCTTCTTCAAGTGCCATCTCCGCGGTGGAGGTCAGCAATCATCATAGCTATTCGGACTTTTGAGATGGCTGCTCTGAAAAGTTCATTTGATGTACAT